CCAGGGGGAGAGGACCGAGTGAAGTATCTCCCCCGGTTGGTAAATCATCGGGGCATGCCTCTGGCATTCGTTACACTTTTGGACGGAGTCTTTCGCATCATTTTCCATCTCGTTCCGATAATTACCGGCTCTGGTTAGTTTCCAAACCAAGGACTTAGCAACCGAATAGTTTCCACAAGTTCCCTCGCGTACTTCCCTTATAAAGTAGTCGGTCTCCCCCGGTCCCAAGCACCTTGTTAACGGACCGTAATACGATCTTCGGTATAATTTTCCACCAACCAAGCCAAACCTGGCAGCCTTAGTATGTAGGGCCCTTGATTCATTGGGATCTCACGACAATTTCCCTTTCTGAAGGTAGTCTATGTATTTATTTCTCGAATCCCAAGTCAATCTTGTTGAGTTTACCACGGTGTGACCTTCCTCTATCACTGAGTTCATCAATTGAACCACTGCTTTGGAATTGAATTCATCGAAGTTGACTGAAGACCCTAGATTACGCAATACATCGGATCGTTATTTTGATCTCGAGGTACATGTTGTAGGGTCAATTCCTTGAATTGGTGTAAGGTTACTTGCAACTTATCCAAGTATATGCACATCCAGTCCTCTTTTACTTCGAACATCTCATTGACTTGGTTAACGACGAGGAGGGAGTCACACTTGGCTTCGATCACCTCAGGCCCCAAGCTCTTAGCCAATTCTAATCCTGCAATCATGGCCTCATATTCGGCTTCGTTGTTAGTCAATTTCACAGTTGTAATAGATTGCCTTATTATATTACCCGTAGGCGGTTTTAAAACGATCCCTAACCCGAAACCTTTCGCATTAAAAGCACCGTCCGTGAATAGGATCCAAACCCCCGAAGTAGTCCCCAAAGCGAGCAGTAATTCTTTCTCAACCTCGGGGATCAAAGCCGGTATAAAGTCAGCCATGAAGTCTGCCAAAATCTGAAATTTTATAGCAGCTCGGGGTTTGTACTCGATATCGTACCTGCTAACCTCTACAGCCTATTTGGCCAGCCGGGCCGAGAACTTGAGTTTATGCATAATATTCCTCAGCGGGTACGAGGTCACGACATATATGGGGTGACACTAAAAGTACGGTTTTAACTTCCTATATGTGCTCAATAAAGCGAGTGCTAATTTTTCTAAATATGGATACCTTGTTTCGACATCGCCTAGGGTTCTACTAACATAGTAAATAGGAAACTCCGTACCTTCTTCTTCCCGAACCAGGACACCACTTATCGCTACCTCGAAAAATGCCAAGTAGAGGTATAGCTGCATGTTTGCCTTCAGGATGTGCAGCAAATGAGGGCTCGACAGGTATCGTTTGAGTTCTTCCAAAGCTGCTGACATTCCAGGGTCCGGGAGAAGTCGTTATTCTTCTTTAGTAATGAGAAAAAGTGGTGGATTTTGTCGGACGACCTCGAAATAAATCGACCCAACATGGCTATCTGCCCGGTCAATCTTTGTACTACCTTGACGTTGTCAACTACGGTGATATCCTCTATGGCTTTTATCTTGTTCGGTTTAATCTCTATTTCCCAATTAGATACCACAAAACCGAGGAACTTGCCCGAGCTGACCCCGAAGGCACACTTCTCTGGATTCAGCTTCATGTTGTATTTCCTCAGTATGTCGAAGGTTTCCTGCAAATGCTCCTCTGCTCGCAGGGACTTAACTAATATATTGTCAATATAAACCTCCATTGATTTTCGTATTTGTTCTTCGAACATCAGGTTAACTAAGCGTTGATACGTGGCATCGGTATTTTTTAGCCCAAACGACATTACATTGTAACAGTAGGTATCAAATTTAGTTATAAAAGAAGTCTTTTCTTGATTGCCCGGGTCCATCTGAATTTGGTTGTACTTGGAATAGGCATCGAAAAAACTCAGTATCTCGTACCCGGCTGTCGCATCGATCATTCGGTCAATGTTAGGCAAAGGAAATGAATCCTTTGGACATGCCTTGTTTAGGTCCTTATAATCTACACACATCCTAAGTTTGTTTCATTTTTTAGGCATGACCACTACGTTAGCTAACCAATCAGGATATTTAACTTCCCGAATGGAACCTATTTTCAGAAGTTTAGATACCTTATCTTTGATGAATGCGTGTTTGATCTCGGGCTGTAACCTCCTCTTCTATTTGAACGGGCAGAAATTTGAATCCAGGATCAATTTGTGAGTTGTCACCTCCGGTAGGAACCCTGCCATATCTAGGTGCGACCAGGCAAAAAAATTGACATTAGCTTTAAGGAATTCAATAAGTTTTTTCCTGAGCTCGGGAGTTAACCTCGTGCCGAGGTATACTTTTCTATCCGGCAGGTACTCGATCAGTATGACCTGCTCCAATTCCTCGATTGTCGATTAGGTGGCATCGGTATCATCGGGTGCTATAATGGATCTCAGGACACCGTAATCATCCACATCGTTTCTTGTGTGCTCTTCCTGTTTTCCTAGCCCGGTTAGGGTCGGGACTGCTGATTTCTATTTGGTTTCTTTCTCTCCGACCAGTCCCCTACTATTTGATGTCATGACCGCGGGTACCGAGACCACTTCCTCGACAACGAATATCTCCTTTGAGGCCAGTTGTTCCCCGTAAACCGTTTTGATTCTACCCGGAGTGGGAAAATTCAACGCTTGACGTAGGGTCGAAGGCACCGCTCTCATGTTGTGGATCCATGGCCTCCCGAACAAGGTATTGTATCTCATATCGCCCTTGACTGCTGAAGATGTGTATAAAGATTTGAAGACGAAATATGAAGATTTGAAGATTAAGGATGAAGAAATGAAGATGTAAAGAAGAATTCGTAAAGATTTGGGGGAATGATGAACAAGTAAATATTTCGAGGGTAACTCAAGAAGATTCGAAATCGGAAAGTAAAAAAGTGAAAAAAGAAAACCGAAGCTTTTATAGGAGGGAAATATTTAATGCATGATGTTTCTCATTCAAGGACGGTCAATCGGCGGCTGACACGTGTTCGAAGTCAGAACGACGCGATTGAGGGGACGTTTCACTGACTCATCAGCCCATTTGTAGCGTACGGTGAAAGGAACCGGGGTCAGTTAGTCACTTCTCGTCATTTCGATAAATCTGCTCTCCGAAAAGTGAGGGGACTATCTGTGTACGGGTAAAATCGAGGATAAAGTTACCCCCGATTTTTCGGTAAAGAAATGAGAGGGAAGCACGATCTAATATGACCTCGAGTAAAGCTGAGTGGTTCCACGTCTCAAAGTCCGGGGAGGACGAAGGGTGCATCCAGGAGCGGATACGGCCGAGCATCAGGTCCAAGCAAAGTGAAGGGTCGAGACTAAGGGAAAAGACGGTTAGACACGATAAATAGGGAGCCGTAATATCCGCCCTCAACCGGATGTTACGGCGCAAATCTCGCCTGACATCAACTGCATATCAATGTTTACTGGGTGGAGAAGATTTTTTACCTTATTTAGACTTGTACTAGAATTGAAACTCACCTACTATGTAAAGGGGAGAATCTTTTATTTTTGGGAAAAGGGCCAAATATACCCCTCTACTTTTATATATTGTCTATATTTAACCTTTGTTATGCTATCGGGCCAAATTTACCCCTACTGTTATACTATCGGGCCAAATTTACCCCTAGTAAACTTTTAAAAATACCCCTTGATCTGTTAAGTAATCCAAAATCTCTCAAATTCTTTTTATTTAAATTATTTATTATTTTTCTTGCTCCATTATTTTTAAAAATTACTATTGATGTGAATGTTAAAGTTACTAGACTATACAAATTATTCATAATTTATTTTAATTACCAATGCACCCATTTCTCTTCTTGTAATAAATAAAATTGGTTTAGAATTTTATTTATTTTTCAACCATATACACACCGTAGAATTTAGTGGGTCTACGTGTTGTGTATTATATAAAGTTGATCATCATGTATGTACATGTATATTCAAATATATTTTGTCATTGCCTGGTTAGTATAGAGTTTGATCGACTAACTTAAGAGTGCACAATGTGTAGGCATTTAATTAAAGCAAAGTTGAATTAGACAATGTAAAGTCTCCGAGGAACTTCAACTTCAATTACTAATACTCGCAAAGTCTCCATACATTTGGTGCAACGAATTCATTAAAATTGGGATGCTGTAAATACTTTTAGAATTTAGAAAAGCTACCTAATTTAGATTTTTTAATTTACTATACTTTGTTTATTCAATTGTATTATTTAATATATTTTTTTCTCTAATTTAAATGCCAATTATTTCAAAAATAGTGGACCAAGAAGAACAAGTGATTTAAATAAAAGAAATTTGGGAGATTTTGGATTACTTAACATATCAAGGGGTATTTTTAAAAGTTTGCTGCTTGTAGTGGTAAATTTGGCCTAATAGTATAACAGTAGGGATAAATTAGGCCCGATAGTATAACGGAGGTTAAATATAAACAATATATGAAAGTAGAGGGATATATTTGGCCCTTTTCTCTTTATTTTTTAGGACCACTGTTGACGCGTATATCAAAGTAATAAAGTTAATTTTTACTCTTTAACTATTATTCAAAGTGTTCTTTAGCTGCTTGTTCGTTAAGTCGTAACCGAGCCCGTTCTGAGGGCTAGATCAGAACCGATTTCCAAACGTTCATTGCAAGGCTAGAGTTAATTATTCATTCATTGCAAGGCTAGAGTTAATTATCCGTTACGTTTGGTTTGATCGCACGGATTTTCTTTTAATTCAATTATTTATTGTTCATAGTTAATTCGTGTTAAATTAAATTATATATTCTTTCACCGCGTATAAATTTAATTGTTACTCGTTTTTTAAGGGTTCAACAAATCATAATCTGGCTTGTCTCCCGTATGTGCCATATGCAATGACCTCTCTCGGCGATTACTTCATATAGTTGTGACTTGTACTTTAAAATATTTTACTAACAAAAATAGTACGTATGTCATATGCGGTGGAAACTGGAAACTAGGATACTGCAACTACTACTATATTGAACACTAAGGTTAAAAAAACAAGATGTTTGACTTGGCTATTAAGATTATTGGACATGCAATATACTTTCTCAGACAAATAACATACTGAACCAGGGACTATGAAAATTGGCAACAAATTTAATTAAACAAACCTGTTAAAAAAATAAAAAATAAACAAAGACCTGCTGAGCGAGTCCAATCAACACTTGAGTACTGCACGGACACAATAGATCAAAACAAGTTTAGCTGGTCCAGTGGCAAAGACACCCACTAGGCTGAATTGAATCCGAACCTCGTTGAGCTACTCCAGCAAGCACTCATTTCAAAAGCTCAATATGTAAGACCGGAGATTAAATAAACAAAAAGAATTAAGAAAAATTAGCAGGCAAGAAGAATCTCTGCCTCTTACTTTTGATACGATAATTGGATGTAGAAGGGGAAATAGCAATTCTACTAAGCACCACTCTAAGAGACTGTTTAAGAGAATTCAAGCAAACACCATTAATGGACTTAACCACGAAAACGCACTTAATTCTGCCACCCAAACTAGTTATATTAGCCTCCACAGTTGTTAGTTTCATGTTCTTAAGCGCCCTGTTTAGCTCTGAGAACAATTCAGGTCGATCATCACAGCATAGACAAACCTTGAGAAATATGCTATTGCTGGAATTTTCATGATTTTCTTCCTCATCTAAATGCTCAATTATTACTTCATCAATGTCAGTTGGAGTGTTCACTACTTTGCTGATTTCCTTTGCTCTTCCTTTTAAATCTTTAACGTGCTCAACTACACTTCTAAGTAGAGCTGCCTTATCCATCTGCAAGTTAAATGATTTGGTAAATCATAGAAAAAGCATTTGATACATGGAAGATATATTACCCATGTTTAGGATAGTTTAGTATGTTTGATATGATGGAAGTTATTTTCTATGAAAAATATATAGTTGGAGCATTGGCGGAGCCAAATATTTATATTAAGGCGATTCAAATAAATACTTTGAATATCATAGCTGAGATTTGAACTTATGATCTAAGCAACTTTTGAACCCCTTCTACCACTTAGCTAGAATTTTTCTTTAGGTAGAGGGGATTCAACCGTTTATATATTAACTAAAAAGTTCGTTCTTACCCTATCTGCGCAGTATAATTAAATTGGAGCAACTAATATGAAGTTAAATTAAGATAACGTATAAAGAAAATGACTCCGTCCGTTAGTGAGAAAAGTCATTTACCTTCTACTGATTGAAAACATTTTCCTTTCTCTAGTAACCAAACATCAATGACCTTCTTATAAAAAATATTGTTTAGAAAAATAGCTTGCGTACCCAACAGACAAAATAAAAGCTTACCTTTTCAGACCTGGGAATGAGTTTTCTTAGAGTGGAAAGCTGAGCATTAATTCTGTCTCTGCGTCTTTTCTCAGCTTCACTATGGCTCCTAGAAGCAGCACTTGCATTTGCACTTGCACTTGCATCTTCTTCAGATAAGTGTTGAGACCAATAACAAGGGTTTTCACAAAGTTGAAAGGAGGTATCATCACAAGTATTTGGAATCAATGGAAGTAGAAAAGGTGAAGCAACAGCAACTTCTTGGAAATGATGAAAATGAGTCTCAGTTTCAGTTTCAGTTTCAGTCTCAGGCCAATATTCAGAACATGAGGAATTATCCATCATGTCCCTATGTTCTAATTTCTCCCTCAATGATCTTGGCATATCTTGTGTTTTAATTTAAAGAACCATAAAAAGAGATTTGAGTGTCACTGTTTATGCACTAGTAGCAGCTAGATATGAGTGATCTTCAAGTACTGATGCTGATGTGTGTGATATCTAGTAGCCTTTAATTGGTCAAATGAAAAATCATATTTGGCCTTATCACTTATCACCATGTCATTTCAATGTGACAAAAAAGTTTTTTGTCTGAGCTCCCTTTACCAACAGACACTTCCATGAACAATACTACCTTAAATTCCAAGGGAGCATTTACACTTTTATGGCAGTACATAGAATTTTAGGTTTGCCTCATATAAACATATAATTTGATCTTTGTAATAGCATATAAAGCCCCCATAGAATCAGGCTACAGATTTTCCAGTAGTTATACAACTATAAAATATATTAATATATACAAAAATGTCATTAGGCAACTGAAACTTGTCAAATAAAGGGATATGAAAATTGAAAGTCGCACATAAAGTGATTTCTATAAAGTATACCTAATGATGACGAAGGGAATTTAACTAAAAAGGTTTCTTAGTCAAATAAGTCATCCCCTTCATAGACGATAGATATAAGAAAAGAGTTACTCCATCTTCATAGTGGGGAATGACAATACATAAGATGTTCTTTTTTTCCTTGTTCATGCATTTTGTGATCAATCATTTTGATGTGTAGAGTTTTGCTCACTTTATATAAATGTAGCATGTAAGAATTTCCCTGCAGAAGAGTACAAAAGAGCTTCAATTAACTACTACCCCTTAAATCATGGAGTAGGGTCACAATTACTCTCCTTGTAACTTCTACCATAAAGAAGATTTAAAATATTGATATGACTAGCAATCTACCATTCCCCTTTCATCAAATCTAAATTGAATTGTGTGGTCCTTGTAGTTCCTTCCTTTCTCATTTTTCCTCAATTTAATACTATATAGTTTACTTTCAAGTGCTGCTGCATTTATGTTCCGTTACTTAGTTTCCTCTTTTTTCTCTAACCAGGCCCCCATCATTTTGTTCAATTATCCTTATATCCTTACATCTTTGTCGGTGTCACAGTAGAAATGAGGGAAATACTGAAAACAAATCAGAAAACATATAGTGAAATAACGACAAGTCTGAGAAGGTGTGTCCCAGAAGAGGATTAGGACACAAGTTGGATACGCATGTAATGAAATTTCGGCAACGTCAAAATAGCAAAGGACACACTGCACATGCCACTGGCCAAATCAAAATGGAACAGTTACCATGAACGCAATATGCTCCACCAAAAGGAAAGGTGAGTGTTG